CCTCATTGCAATAATGGAAGAGAACTTCAGAGACAGTGACCCAAGTTAGAAATAGAATAAGATAATTTAGTAGTTTTGTTATGTAACAGTTGGTAGGGACTCAAAAGCAAAATCTGTTATGGTTCAATGTGTAAGTGATAAACATTTAGACATTATAAAAGATGCAATAACAGCTAAGGGAATGTTAAAATCCCTTCAAGATGTATTTCAACGTAGAAGTGTATTCACCAAATTAACGCATAAGAAAAGGCTTCTCGCACTAAAACATAAAAGAAATGAAAAACTTGAAGATCATTTCCAGAAGTTTGTTCTTTCTGTGTTAAGCCTATTTATTTACAGATATATAGACATGAACGTGTAGGATATGTATTTTATACACAGCACAGGATAGGATTTAAAATAAAAATATGTATAATAAAAATAATATTAATATCAAATAATATATCAAATATATTATTGCATTTGTGAATTGAAATTACAATTTTACTCTTCGAGCTTCTTGTTCAGCAAATAAATCTATGGCCTTGTCATAATTTAACTCGTGTGCTATTCGATTTTCTATCGCTAAGATTGCAAGACTCGATAAGCGTTCCTGGCACATAGAAGATCGCAAATAATTTTTAATTAGTTTTAGTTTGCTAAAACTTTGCTCACAGCTTGCGGATGTAATAGGAAGCGTAGAGTAAATTCGCAGGGCAATACAAATATTAGGAAAAGCATCCTGCAAATCATGCGCATAGATCTGTTGCAAGAGATAGAATCCGTTAGCCTTTTCTATATCACCAAATAAAAGCGGAGCTTGCTCTTTAAAAACGTAGAGTGCCTGGCAGAATTCAACGACGCTTAAATCTCGCTCGTATTTTCGAGCCAGATCTGCTCCATACTTTTGCAGTTCTTCAATTGACATTTTCAAAATATTAGTACCATTAAGAAAAGCAAAATTTAAATTCAGCGTGGTAGTACAATCAAACCTCTTTTTAATTTCTGATATGATTCAATCAAATGCCATCATTATTTCTTTAGAAAATAGTTTAACAAGTTGGAGTGTTTGTAATTCGTCTTCACACATCTCATCGAAATGTTTTTTACGTTTCGGAATTCGATTGTTTTGCAAAATTGGGTCAACACCACTTTTTGCAGCAACTATTCGTTTATCCAATATTCCATTGGATTTTGTCTCATTTTTTGCAAAGTTTTGAACAGACCATCCATTAGTGCGACGTAACGCGCAAGGATAATATCTTCTTTCTGAATTTCTATATTCACTCGATTAACTTCGCGGAGAATGTTCGCCCAAATAGTTAAATTAAGAATAATTTAAAAATAGGGCATTCACAGTAACATGTTTCGCCGACCATCTCGTCTGACTACTTCCTTTTAAATTTGTTTTAACGTATTTTTAATAATGTCCCACCTAGTAATGGAGCCAACAAAAAAGCAATATACTTTTTGAATCAGTCCAAATAAGTTAATAAATAGCTTCCTGGCATGACGAGGCAGAATGAACACCCACAAGATTTAAGGAGTGAGCCAAGCACGGTACGAACTCGGCCAGCTCATTCCTTTCTACAATCCTGGCTTGTACTCCTTTATGGATGCCGGCCATATTGGACCTATTATCATAAGATTGGCCACGACATTGTCCAATATCTAAATCATCAACTGCAAATTTTTCTAAAATCTGTTGACAAATGTCCTCTCCTGTCTTTCCAGCAACTTCTATGAAATCAATGAAACTTTCTGTTATTTCACACACATCGCCATTTCATTTTACATATCGAATTACCTGGCTAATTTGTTCTGTATAGGATACATCTGGAGTGCAGTCGAACATTATCGTGTAGTATTTGGTTTCTTTGATGTCATTTAAAATGCTATTTCTAACTGTTTTTGCCATTATGTTAATCATTTCATTGTGTATTGTCTTTAATAAGTATGATACTTGCCCTTTTTTAAGTGTTTTAATTGAAACTTAAGAGTTGATTTCTGTTTGGCGAGCAGGGAAATCAAGTTCAACAAGTTACCTTGACTAGGCTGAGGACATTGTGTGATGAGATCGCTAGGAGTTTCGTGGGACCCGCGAAAAGAAAGGCAGTTTGTAGATAGATACAATACAGCATCCATAACAATACGCAGGTCTGTCTCCATTTTTCTTTCTCTGAGTGAATTACTCTCTCATTGTCTTGATCAATACCCTGGCATGATTTCATTTGTTGTACCCGTGTTTTCCACTTGATCATACACTCTTTGGGTATTTGAGTTGCCTCGTGTTCGGTTAATCTCTCTGAAACTTTTTTCCAATTAATAAACCCTGTAGAACACAATGCAGATGTGGCGGTAGAAGACGGTTTCTGGTAAATCTTGCAACACGCACAAAAAATTGCATTTTTTGTCTTAGAAAATATAAGCCAACATCTTTTAACCCTTTCGCAATTAGCCAACGTCCTGTACCACATAGAACACACTTGTACTATTATTTATTCAGTGGTCAAAGTTAAGTAAATGATGAGTTGTCTATTCGTCTGTAAAGTGTGAATTTAACCGCCCTCTGAACTTGCCGCCCGGGGTATAAACCCCGGCTTGCCCCCCCTAGATCCTGGGCTGTTAAAACTATTCATCTTAATTTTTGATGTATTATCTACTCTGGAAGTCTGTCAGCAGTTTTCTGAATCACCCTGTATAAGAAATGTTTCATAGTTTACGGTAAAATAAACAACTCGAAAGTAAAAAGTATTGTTAAAGAATAAAAAATTCATATGAATAATAGTGTATGTTCCTAAAAGTAAAAACATCTTGACGTAATTCGAAAGTTTCCTGAAGTTGGTTTAACCAGGCCCGAAACCCTCAAAAGAAAAACCACCCTCAACAATATAATTTTCCTAAACACTACTTGCAATGCAAGAGGAAGCTGAAATCAGGCAAGAAGTAAATCTGAACGCTGAGGGGGAAGAAAGGATAGGCCCTACCAACACTAGTATAACAATAGTATGATAAGTCTGACAAACTACCAAGAGCTATTATGTTAAAGTTTCTTTCTTGAATCTGCACCTTTCCAGAAAATTCCTAAGCAGGAATTCGAAAGAATTCCACAGACCTTCAGATAATGAAGTGTAATTTCATTTTTTGACGCGGCAGTGAAGTTGAACCTTTGGACCAACTGAAAGACAACAAAACAATGATGGTATCCAGACCTTTAAGTTTATTAACCATTTTTCGATTATCTTCTCCAATTCTGTATCTTATGCTTTGTTGCCAATCTAAAAATATAGTAGGAATTAACCTGTTGTTAGTAGAGGTGACGCCGCAGAGGGGAAAAATTCTTACAATTAGATATATTTAGTGATTGTAATTTAGTGAATAAACTTTTTTATAGTAATACCGGTATCCCTGTATTAAAAATTTTGAATACCGAATACCGGCATTGAGATTTTGGTCTGGTATTGCAAGCCCTACCTACAACGAAATGAGAAATGTTCAATTTTGATCGAATTTAAAACAAAGAGATAATTCAACGTAGTTAAAAAGTAATGTTTTTTTTACAAAAATCAATATTACATTTTCTATTCTGAAAAATGACTTCAGCAAAATGGGTATTTTATGTATTTTTGAATTTGATTTACTTATCTCGACATTATTATTGTTATTAATTTTTACACAATTAATAATTAAATGTTTACGACCGAATCGTAATAATATAAATATTTCGTTACGCGAGAATAAATGTAAATAATTGAAAATTTCTAAATTCCTTCGCAATACCTGTGCCTTCACCACGTTTGAAATTTAACATTTTAAAAGAATTTCAAACACGTAGGAATAAAGTACACAAACAAGGCGAATATTGCAAGCTTCTAGTTGCTCGTCACGTTTGATATAAAGTTTTCAGAACCAAGCACAAGTTTACTTTTAGTACCTAATCTATCTTATGTTCTAAAAATATTTGAAAAAAATTGAGAAACTAAATTGAGTTATTTAAAAACTTCAAAAAAGGTTAACCCATTTTATCTTTATATCTTATTGGATGGTGGCCACCCCTCCAGCGATTTATGGTTATTTTTCTTCTCTAGGGAATACCTACCCAAACTCTTTTAGTGTCAATGTTGTGGCGTATTTCAGGAAATTCGTATTCGACGTGCGTTCGAGTAAAAGATTCATAATATACCGTTGGGAAAGCATGTTTAAAATTTTTTTAAAATCGCTTATTTATTAAATCTTATTTAATGTTCCTTCTTTTATAATTTCATTTACTTTATATTTCGTTTTAGAAAAAAGAACAAAGTAAATATTCGATTACATCTTGTGTAGTTAAATTCGTACGAAAGAAACACGACCGAATTGAACAATGGAGTTCGAGGCTTTGTTATCCGTTTGAAAATGTGTGCAAACGCGATAAAAACGTTTACCTCAAAAATTGGAATTCTCCACTAAGTTAATTACGTTTCGTTAAGCTCTATGTTGCTATACGAATCCATTGCGTAGTGGACCACGTTTAATCCATTATATACCTGATTGCCTTCGTAGTTTATCCACACGGGGATACTAGCGGTAATTAAAAATTTCAAATCTAAAATTTTATTGAGACGAAGGAAGTTTTAAATTAATAATTCCTTCATTTTGTTAATGTGTTGATAAAACGTTATTATAAATTTTAAGTCGTTCAGGTGAAGTAGCCATTATAAAATTGATATTAGTGACGCAGTAAAATTGAAAAGTGATTGGCAATGACGTCAAAAAGAGGCTATTATAGAGCCATACTAACGCATATCCACATTATCATATCGCGTTGCAACAAAGTGCCTCCTATTTAGCTGATCAATGGGCTGCTGCTAGCGTCTTCAATCATTCTCCGTTCATCGACACCGCGAAATTTCATAAAAACCGTTACCCAACCCAATACAACCCCGACATCGAACACTCCCCAAGCAACACCTGCAATCCTTCACCACCGTACCTTTATTAATAGCACGACGAGATAATTGCCCCCGCCATCACATGATAAATTACCTGTGTTCCACTCGGGTTAGTCTCTGCTTGATTTTCGCTTGACTGGCTGAAAATTCACCCATCAACCGAGCCAATCTCATCTGTAAGTTTTCCACCGAAGCCTCCAGCCTACGAATGCTATCGGTAACCGTTTCTTGTGTTTCACGAGCTCTTTGTAGGGCGTCTTCGTCTAAAAGACCGTCCTTCCTTAGTAGCTGACAACCTCGTTCGATCAATGTGTTCTTAGCCTAAAATATAACCCGAAAAGTAAACATCATTATCGGATTTTCGCGGAACGAGAATAAATTAGATTTTAACCATTTAAAAAGCTAAAAGCTTCTTTGAAACAATATACGTATACTGTTACTGAAATGATTACAAAATGTGGTTAAAATGGTTCGGTTACAATTTAATTAATTTCTACTAGATTGTATAATTGTATTAAATTCCGGTTATTGCAATAAATTTGATTTCATGTTATATTATTTTTAGTTTAAATTTGTGGAAATGTAGTGGTTAATTAATTAAATTCTAATAAAAAAAAGTTTTTATATGGTGTGCGGAGAAAATGTTGACTTGATTTCGGAATCGAATAAAAACCAAACTTAATAAGGGAATAAATATTTTTAAATAAAAATATAAATATTATTATTTTTAATTGGTGTATTGTAAAAATCATATTGGTACTGTAATTCAGTTTACACTTACTGCTGTCTTTACATCTTAAAATATTATGGCTGATGTTAAAATTACTTACTACACCTAATTCAATTTTAACATCATAGATACGTTCTATATTTACATACATAGAATGTATGTAAAAACTATTAATAATTACTTATTTCACGGTTTTTTGCAACTCCATATTAGGTCCTACAACGGCAAATTAGAAGTGGGAGTGGGTGGAAATAAATTCTGTAGAAGATGTTTTACAACTACCATTTGAATTTATATCGACATCCGCCTTTCCTGAAGTAGTAAATAATTGTAAAGATGAATATAAATTCTTCAACTACTTTTTGGATACAAAAAACGATGGATTTAACCTTCGAGCCGGCGCGTGTCTTAAATTTTATGACATCAGGCCGTATTAATAAGTACAGTAAAGTGCCGATAATCCGTGAACCATTTAACGGGTTAACGGGTTCGGATTAACCGTGCTTGTGAAGAAGAAGAAAACAATATTTATTTGGACTTATATAAAAATAATAACAAATACGAAAATACATATACAGCATGTCCATAAACTCAACGTCAAGCGGGCACCGAATGAGAGGCCAACCCATACCTGTTCTGGTAAAAATAAGAAAAAAATTCGATGTCTCTTAGTTAAGTGGTTATATACATATTTTTGAAAATGTTAAAAATCGTTCCCGTACATCATATCTTTAGGTACTACGGTCAGAACTGTTCGCAATTTAATAGTGATTTTTTTTAATGATGTATTCCTCATGAACCATGCTACTATAGCAGTCACAAATCGAACAACAAAAGTCGTTAATTTTGCAAGAAAAAGTAATCGTTTGATTGAGTTAAGGTTGAAAGAATTTATGTCTATTAATTTTGACACACGATTTCTAAACAAAGGACTAGTACAACACCCTTGGCAAGTAATTTTAAAAGATGGCCTGTCTAGTCAAGGTTCCAAACTGGTATAACACTTACCATTTTTCTTTTCCTAAAAATATTATTGTCTTTATTTCTGCCAAAAACGCGTTATTTAAAAAATTCATACTTTCGTATGTTATTTGTATTTCCTCCAAAATGATTTAACAACTTTGTTAAAAGATGTGCCACTCAATATCTACAGAGAAATGTGGTTTCAACAAGATGGTTGCCCAGCTCATTATGCTTGTCCTGTACGGGATTGCATGCAGAATACCCAGAAAGATGGATTGAGCGTCGAGGTTCGATTACGTGGCCTCCTCATTCTCTTGGGTCTAAATCCCCTTGATTTTCTTATTAGGAATGCATAAAAGAAACAGTGTATTAAAAACCGATTGAAAATCTTGCCGAACTGCGCCACAATGTTTATACAGCAGCAGAAGAAATAAATGCAAAGAGATTTGCACAACTAGTAAAAAGATCTTTTCTGTGACGATGCAGAGCTGGTATTAGTGCCGACGGCAAATCATTTGAGCATTTGCCTTAGTTTTAAGAAAATAATGCTATAAAATTAATAATAAATAAATTTGTTTGTTTAATTTTGTCTTTAGGTTAATCTTATTTGAAAGAGTCTTTTTGCAAGACATAAGGGCAACGATTTTGTTGAAACCACATTTTGTAGTTCGTAGATATTGACGGGCACATCTTCTAACAAAGTTAAGAGGAAATAAAAAGTAAATACAAATAACATACAAAAGTATAAATTTTTTAAATAACGTATTTTTTGCAGAAAAACAGGCAATAATATTTCCTATGACAAGAAAAATGGCAAGTATTGTACCATTTTGGAAACTTGTCTAAACAGGCCATCTTTTAAAATTACTTGCCAAGGATGTTGTATTACTTTTTTTTTTAGAAATCGTGTTTCAAACTTGATAGACATAAATTCTTTCAACCTTAACTCAATCAAATTAATATATTTTTTTGCAAAACTAACGATTTTTGTTGTTTCATTTGTGACTTCTACAGTAGCATGGTTCCCAAGGAATACATTATTAAAAAAATCACTATTAAATTGCGAACATTTCTGACCGTAGTACCTAAAGATATGATATACAGGACCGATTTTTAACATTTTCAAAAATATGTCTATTACCACTTAACTAAGAGATATGGAATTTTTTTCTCATTTTTACCAGAACAGGTATGGGTTGGCCTCTCACTCGGCTTGACGTTGAGTTTCGGAACACCCTGCATAAAACAAATATAAAAAAGAGTCCAAAAGGGCTATAGACCTTAGTCTTTCTGCCTACCCGTGCTTGTGATTTATATATTTTTTAATTTTAACAACAAATTCTTTAAGTACTCCGCCACGCCTAATTTTTTGTAGGTACTGCACTGTAGCGCGTTGTTGTACTGTACTAATGGCTCCCAAGCGAAAACTGGTAGTTTTAACAGTGGAAAAAAATTTGAAATTATTAAAAGACGTGAACATGGTGAAACTGTCAGGTTGCTGGCTGACGAATATGGAGTTGGACAATAAATCGTACGTGATTTAGTGAAATAGCAGCCCAAATTGGAAACATTCGTTTCTTTGTATGAAACATCAGCTGGCCCTACACATAGGAAAACAATGAAAGATGCGAAGAGTGAGCAATTAGAAAATGTAATGATGAAGTGGTTTTTCAACACAGAGCATTAGGAGAACCGATGTCCGGTCCGTGTGTTAGCTCGAGCACCATACTTTGCAGAAAAGTTACAAATCACCGATAGACTTACACTTTCAACAGATTGGTTGCGACGTTTCAAAGAAAGGTATGGAATTAGAGAATAATTGCAAATTCAAGAAGAACAGCTTAGTGCTGACAATGTTAGGGCTACAATTTTTTGTGACTCGTTATCAAACATTATTAAAGAGAGGGGTTTAGTATCTGCCTAAATATACAATGCTGATGAGACCAGCCTCTATAGGTACAGTGCCCACTCGTACATTAGCATCTGCTAAAGAAAAAACTGCTCCTGGCTAAAAAATTAGTAAAGATCGGATTACAGTGTTGTGTTGCTCAAATGCTAGTGGAGAATATAAGCTGAAATTAGCTATAGTAGGAAAGTCAAAGTCACCTAGAGCTTTAAAAGACATAAAAGAACTCCCAGTCGGATACTCTAACAACCGTTCTGCGTGGATGACAAGAGACATTTTTGAAATGTGGCTTAAAAACAAATTTGTTCCACACGTAAAAAAATATATGGACTGCAAAAGTCTCCCTCAAAATTAAATATTGCTTCCTGATAATGCTCCATCTCATCCGCCAGTTGAAGCGTTGTCGGCCAAATGCGACCCATGGATCAGGGCGTAATTGCAACAAATGAAGAAAATAATAATGCTCCTTTACAGTTTTGGAACTCAATTACGCTTCGAGATGCTGTATACAACATATCCTATGCCTGGGAAAATGTGAAAGCTACCACAATTGAAAAATGTTTTAACAATATTTTATGCGATGAATCAGCTGAAGAACATGAAATTGATAGTGATGAACCTTTAGATGTGTTTCAGTCGTTAAAAAACGTTTAGGGCTGTGAAGAACTGGATGACGAAAATATTCTGGAGTGGCTAAATATTGACTCGAATGTTTTGGACTGTGAAGACATGGCCGACGATGATCTAGTCGATAGTGTCACCAAACCAATTTCTAAACCGAATTCATTCCAAGAATGTAGCGACGATGATGTAGAAGATGACACAGCTTAGAATGACAATCCAAAGTCAGTTGTAAGGGAGCACTAGCAGATGCTGAAACTCTTTTAAATTTTATGGACCAGCAAGACGATATAGACATTTTAAAAATTCGTACTTTCATAACAAATATTAAACAAAAGATAAAGAGTAGATAAAAGAAAACAAGTAAAAATAACCGACTTTTTTAAAAAATGATTTAAGTGTTTTGTTATTATTTAGTTATAGTAAAGAACGTTGTTTTACACCAGTTTATTTCTTTCATTATACAATTCTCTAACCTTTTCTTAGAACAAAAATTAAACATTCGTATTTCAATAATTTTAAAAACGTTAGGTTGTATTATCCGTGGTTTTCGATTATCCGGTTTCTATTTCCCCCCAATTACCACGGTTAATCGGCACTCTACTGTATTACGTTATTTTTAATAAAACAGTAGCAACACATTTTGCTAACGTAATAATATTTAATTTATATTAAAGTTGTTAAAAATATAAAATGAAATCGATTAATTTTTGAAATCTAACATTTACAAACTACTACCGGGAATTTTATATAAGTGGCAATATAATATATGAACGCAGTAACCATAGTTACGAAACTACTGTCCACTTGCACTGTCCCACATAAAATGCAATATAGCTTAATAGTACAGGTATTAGGTAGTTTTGCAGAGGAAAAGTTTTGCTTGGAAAAAGACCTTATGACAATTTTGAGTTTTCGTCCGTCTTAAGATACGCGCGACTAAACCCGAATGTTTCTAATTCTGGGTCTAGTGTTAGTTCTAGCTTTAGTTCAATAAAAATATGCAATATCATTGTCACTAGAACTAGAATCATTCGGGTTTAGCCGTGTTAAGAGACGTGCGGCTAAACCCGAATGTTTCTAATTCTGGGTCTAGTGTTA